TACTCACAAAAATGGAAGGAAGTAACATGATTTCTCTGTTTTTCCACTTCATGGAGAAAATATATGGCATGTGGACCTTCTTTTGTTATGATCTGCTCTTTAATAAAAATTACATCACCCTTCAAACAACCCTTAAGTGTGAATGGGAAATCATGGGTGAGACTGATGCTTATACATTTCCCAGTGTACTTATATATTCAAATGCTCCCGGCAATTCCCTCAGCTGTTTCCAACAAGAAAACAAGAATAGAGAAAGGGATTTAAACCAGATTAGCTGTTTGTCCAGCTGCAGAACTATAGGCAGATAACTATAGGCAGATATGAAGCGGTATCACTGGAAATAAGAAAAATGAAGAATGGCTCTGGAAGGTGAACAAAGGGCTTGTACCTGTTAAAACCAAAATCATGAGCACTTAGGCATTGGGTTACACACATCAACAGGAAGAGAATGACAACTGCAGGCACTTTTGGAGAGATCTGGTATGTATATAGCATGCCCCAAGGAGCATTCTTTGGCAACCGTTTGAAATGAACTCATGAATTTCTTATCCACTCCTCAGATATGGTTGGGATGATTGAAGAGAGTAAGCATAAAACATTTTCATCATCCCAGCTAATATGTGATAGGTATGCATTTCAAAGTAAACATATTAGAAACTTTAGGAAATGATCTCTAATTTTCAATCAGGATAATTAAAAGTTGGTGCTGGGTATGATGTAGACTGGATGGCTACTTAGACATTTCCAAAAAAAGGAAATATATCATTCCCCCCCTCCAAATCAAGAGCATGCAGAATTAAATAATTGCATTAATTTATATAGAAAGATGCTAATTTTATGTGCATCGATTTGTGCTAGTTCACTTGTATGGATGCAAATTTTGAATTAATTGCTTTAATTATACAGTTATTTGAGCACTGGTGTCATGTTGTTAATTGCTGATGGACAATTTCAAGGCCCCGCTTTCTTTTTTAATGCTTCTTAGTCATTAAACTAGATTTGGACTGAACAGTCATTCAAATAAAGGATTATCCTTTGCAAAATAATATGCATGGACACTCTAACTTTAGTGTTAGCATATGGCTAGGACAAATGTGCTGTGTTGTTGTTTTTAGTATCTGGAAAAAGCCATACTGCACAGGTGGGAAATCTATGTCCTACCAGCTTTTACTGAATGGCAATTTCCATCATCCTCAATTACTGCAATTTGAAGTTGATGGAAGTCCAAGATCACTGTCATTTGAAGAGCCACAAGTTTCCTTGCCCTACTCTCTGCCTAAAAAATAATCATTAACTCAAACTGCACCATCTAAAAATGATACTGTCCCAAGGTGGGTTGCATTTAATCTTGATACTGAGGGCTCTTTCCATTCTAAGGATTTGTTCAGTGTAAGACTGGATGCACTCAATGGTGATAACTTAGTCATATCTCCAAGCACTTCTGTTGACAAGATGGTGAATGGAGATGGTGGCCCTGGTGCAGAGGAGGAGGGATCGAATTCATCTTCTGACATGGAGTCAATAGCATTCAGATGCATGGAATTAATACTGGGGCAGTTGACAATCTAGATTAGGATGTCCTCAACAACTCTTGTTGCTGCAGATGTCAGGGTAATAAGACACAGACAATAAAACAGAAGAGGTACTGGAGGCACTGTGGTGGAAAACAGAGCCACATAAATTGGTGTGGACATAGCCAGAGCCTGAGCCTCTGAAAGCAGGAGGTGAGAGATTGTCATGGATGGGCATAGATTGCAGGTATGGTCTTGAGGCAGTAGTAAAATAGATTCATATCTTGTGTGAGATTAAATTCAGTAGAATCAGTACATAGAGAGATCTTGTAGCACCTTTGAGACTAACTGAAAGAAAGAAATTGGCAGCATGAGCTTTCATAGACTTCAGTCTGCTTCCTCAGATGCATTTGGTGGAGTGAAGGCCAGGCACAAACATATATATGTGAGGTTGTCCATTGAGTGAGATTAGTTTCTGCTTACCTCTGCTCCAACATCAATGTGAAACAATGTTGATAATAAAGAGACCTGTCATAAAATCTATGACAGGAGACCCAGAATACCATTGGAAGATTCCTCCAGTCTGGGTCCCATCCATATCTCAAGCCCCAGCAATCGTTAGAGCAGACAGAGTATGGAGGGCACTGGAATGAGTAGTCCCCATATAAAGTCAGATTGAGGATGTACAGTGTTCTTGATACCACTGAAAATGAGCATGGGAAAGAGTTGGACAATTTAACACCCAGATGTGAACTATTATGAGCAAACAGCAATGGCAACAGAGTGCTGCCATCCTCGAGATGCTTCATGTATCTCTCCCTCAGACCATAATAAACCCTTGCAGAGAACATTGGGAAAATGGAGCAGAGTACCAGAGTTCAGGCTAGCAGAGTAATGAGTAGGCAAAGTTAGAATTTTAAAGATAGAATACAAAGGCATGTCTGATACAAGCACAAGGTTATTAGACAGTACCAAAGTAGACAGTTGAGTGGAGTGAAGCCTAGTTTGAGCAGAGATGCTTGCAGTCAAGCATACTGGAACTGAAGGAGGTTGAGTCATCCATGGAGTCATGGTAATGCAAAAGATATATCTGTTGCCTTCACTTTCACTGTTTTCTTCTTGTTAGCAGCAGTCCCATCTTGCCTTTCTTGGGAGTAGTGGCACTTGTGAATGTTTTCTAGGCTTCTACCCAGCATCACGGGAGGTGTCACACACAATATCAAGGACCTGGATAGGCTGACTGTGTGGCAAAAGCCAGAGGTTCCAGGAGTGGAAAGAGCAGCTAGAACCATTAATGAATCTGAGACGGTATCTGGGGCCATAGGTTTGCAAGGCAAAAGGCCTGGTTCAGGAGGCAATGTACCGGGGACAGGATCTTTGGCCATAGGATCCACCCAAATCACCATGTCTTCCCAAACTGTAAGCCACAATTTAATTTGCTTATTTTTGAGAGCTTGTTTAGTAAAGCTATTTCAAATGGAGCCAACTTGGGTCTTCTGCCACTCACCCAAGCAGTACTATCTGCCTTAAAAATAGCCCTAGTGCATTTCCCCAAATATGGACAAAATTATGTCTGGTATCTACATTACTAATCTTTGCTATCCCAACAGAAATATTTAATCCAGGCATCTTAAATCTTGTTGCCTGCTTCTACTGTTTTATCTTCTTTTGGTACTTTAGTTTGTATGGTGTTGTGTGTATACTGTGTACCTTCAAGTTGTTTCCAACTTATGACAACCCTAGGGTGAATCTTTGCAAGATTTGTTCAGAGGAAGTTTGCCACTGCCTTCCCCTGAAGCAGAGAATGTGAGACTTGCCCAAGGTCACCCAGTGGGTTTCATGACCCAGCTGGGAATTCAACCCTGGTCTCCAGAATTGTAGTCCAACATTCAAACCACTGCACCATGCTAGCTCTTTTTTAATGCTGCTTTTGCTGAGTTCTAGTCTTAAGGGGAGTATATAGGTCTGCCAAATATATAAATAAAATATATTCACAGCTTGTGAATAAAAACATAAATGGAAAAAGATCATGCTTTTAAGATCTGTTATAGCACATTAATTTTTATTTCTTCCATAACCTGACAGTGTGCATCCATTTTAACAACAACAGGCATTTTTTAAATGAAGTCATAGCTGAGCAACAGAAATCAAAGAGAAAAGAAGGCACTATGCCAAACCCATCCTTAACAGATTAATAGTGCAATCCTATGCATGTCTACTCAGATTAAGGCCCATTCAATTCAATGGGTTATACCTGCAGTTAAATATGCAAAGGACTGCTGTATAATTAAACAAGTATTGCAAATATACTTATTCTGACAATACCTGTATTGAAAATCTTTGTACAAATTTCGTACCCAAACCCAAAACAGTCAACTTTTTAAAAACTCATATAAATTTGTACAATAAATTGTCAAATGCTTTGGCTATTTAGGATATAGGTAAATAATATCACATAGGAAACCAGTAGAGTTCAATTATGCATGCTGCATTCCACATTAGAGTTCATTTAGAAGACTGTCTATTTTGTAAAAGATTTAACTGGAATGCAATAAAATTAATATTACACTACCAATTATGCACATACACACTTGAACACACACACACACACAAACAGCCCATTCATTACTTTCTATTGTCTCAGCCAACTTCTATAATGATTATGAATGAATAGTCTTCAATCTGTGTTTTTCACTACTATTTACACACCAGCAGATGAGGCTAAATACTTTAGAAGTTTATTGACTTAAAAATGAGAAATGTTTAGAAAAATAGAAGTAGAAATCCTCAGTAATCCTAAATACATCATAGTTTTAAAGGAAGTTTTATTTTCACCTCACAAAGTTTAATATATCCAATGTGAATTCAAAATAAGAGGGGTATAAATTAAACAAAATACATTGTATTAGGATTATATAGTAAAAAGTGGTTGTTAATAATTTTTACCTAAGGCCACTGTACCACAGTAAGATGTGGAATTCAGTGCATTTTAGCAGCCACACATTAAAATTTTAATTACATTTTACTGACTTTATAAAAATAAGATTTTATTATACAGAGTTAGTGAAGATGTATTTCCAATTTCAAGGAATATGCTTATGAGAAAGTATTCTTCTTTTCTCCACTGATGATGTTCACTAACCTGGAAAACGAAAGAAGAGTTAGAGATAATTTACCATTAAAGAAAGATGAAAAATAGTAAGGACCTACTTTATATGAGTAGTTAATCCCAATGTTTTATGTAGCCAATCTAATATGAGTGCTGAAAGCAAGAGACATGTTGCAAATTAACTTACATATTATATTATGAGTTACGATACAATATGATGCACAACTCTAACTTTCCTCTACTCAGTGCTATCGCACTGTCTTTCTGCTCATTCCTCTACAACAGAAAAAGTGCCCTCAGAAATCGTGCTACTCAAAGTGACCCACTGCCAGTCCATAAGAGAAAGAAACAAACAGCTATAGACAACAGGTATAAATATGGTACTAGTACCTGGCATATTGGGAGGGGGGGATACAAGTACTTGGTATCAATTAGCCTGAAGAGCACTGCTCTAAGAAACTTGCTTTGTGTTGAAGCTGCCTAGATATTGGACATTTTGGGACTGCTGCCAGTGGAATTCATCTGGAGTGACAAACAGCATCAGTGTAGTAGGCATGGGATTTATGTGGAGGGTTTAGAATAAATCTGTGGGTTGTGTAGCCTTCCAAATCTGGTTGGGCTGCAACTCCTATTGTCTCTCACCACTGGCTTTACTGTACAAGGATGCTGGGAATTACAATCCAACAAATGGATTAGATTGTTGAATATGCATATGTGAATAGTTTTACTAATCTATGGAAAGGGTTGGTACCAAAATATGCCAATGGAAATAGGGATGGAAGGTAGAAAGGAAGATGGACACAACTCAGTATTCAAGGTTCAAGCCTATTACAGTGTTCCTTAATATAAAGCAAGAAGTTGCTGAAACTAAAGGTTCAAGGAAACTTAAAATCTCATATGGTATTTGTATTCATTTCTGACATGATCAATTTTATTATGACTAAGTAAAGTTGTCAAAAATCAGTGATGTAATAAATTATGTTTCAACAGAGTTTACAAATGAAGTAAGGAAATGGAAGATAGAAGATAGGAAATGGAAATTTCTCTTTTAAAATTAGAATAGCATTGTGAAAGTTTATTGGAATATAAGGAAACCCTTTTAAATCGAAATGACAAATAAAACATTTACATCTCATGTATGGTTTATCTTAATGTTTTCCTGTGAAATGATATTTGGTGTGGAAACCATGATGAACTGGGAACCTTTCCATTACACCTTTAAAGCTTTAAATCAAGGGTAGGCAAGGTTTACGTACCTGGGGCCGGTTGCTGGTCCCCAGGTCTTCCGCCGGGCTGGGGGAGGGATGGCAGGAGTACTGCGCATGCACAAACGAGTCACGGTGGTGGTCGGGGCGGCGGGGGTCAGTTTTATTCAATCTGATTTTTTTCAAATTCAGAGTTGAACAATTCTCCTTATCAAAGTTTTCCCCCATCATCCTGTTTATCTCTTGTATAACATCTAACCAAAAATTTTGTACATAGAGGCACTCCCGCCACGTATGAATGTAGGTTCCTTTTTGTCCACATCCATGCCAGCAATTTGGAGAAAGTTTATTTATTTATCTATCTGATGTGGGGTCTTATACCATTTGCTAATTTACTTGAATTGTTGTTCTCTTACATTTATATTTTTAATTTTACTTATCTGAGAGATCTAAAATGTTAGATCTTCAGTGTTTATCTTTCTCTCACATACTCACTAGTCCTCTGCCTCATTGTCACTTGCAAATGGTATTCACTTGATAGTCAGGGAATAACCTACTTAGTTCTCTCACAGGTATGATTGATGTTTCAGACTTATCGTTAGCAAAGCTGGCTAAACTGTTTTTCAGATATTATTGACTGTTTAAAACTATTTGAACTTTGGCAGGAATGTAAGGTATTTTCAGTTCTGCCTCCTTAATTCTAACTTGTTCTAACTCTTAGCTAAAAGTAATATGCCTGTTGTTTTTACAGGAGTTTAGATAGAAGATGTTTCTTTTCTTTTTTATACACACCTTGATTAAATCAATTTAAAGTGGTCAAGGGAATAAAACTGTACTATAAGGAGCTCAAGCCAACTGTGCCATTCTCTTTTCAAAATACCAGTTAGTAGCAGAATGTCCCCTCAAAATCCAAAATTAGCTTTATAAAATTAGCTATTACCCTGAAGCTGAAGAATCTAGTAAATATTAGCAGGACTTAATTTATTAAACACTGAGCCAGAGAACACCTGTTATTTTGAAAATTAATTCTACAGCTCTTCTGCTCTCAGGCATAAATCACTTTCTTTCTTCTAAACACTAAATCACATACATAGTGCCCATGCAAATTTTAAAACTTCTTCTAAAAGGGGGGGGGCTGTACATGTTTTGTTCCTGTAGCTGCAGTATATGCAGTTGGCCCTCCTTATTCACAGATTTTTTTATCCATGGCTTCAAGCATCCACGGCCTGAAAATATTTTTTAAAAAAGTATAAATTTCAAATAGCAAGCCTTGATTTTCCATTTTATATAAGGGATACCATTTTGCTATGCCACTGTATTTAATGGGACTTGAGTATCCATGGATTTTGTTATCCACGGAGGGTCCTGGAACCAAACCCTAGCTGATAACAAGGATCCACTGTACTGAGAATTGGCACTAGTAACTCTGCCAGGCCTTTTACTGGCTCTCCACTTTACAGAAGTTTCAACACCTGGATGCTGGCAGCCTGCATTTTCCAGGAGTTGTCCTTCACTTGTGAATTTGGCTACAGCAACCTCATTCCAGAACCAGATGGCTGCTATTACCCCATATAATTATTTGTAAAAGGCTTATTCCTTTAACCAATTTACCATTCTCAGATGTCACATATAGTACAATATTGCTTAGATCAAACATTTTTTGTTCCCCTCCCATGGTTAAAGTAGTACGAAGAACAGCTTACCTTATACAGCAAAAAATAAAATAAAAGCTAACAATGAAAACTGATACAAGCTTTTAAATCAAGATGCAAGTCCAATTACAGCCTTCGAACCCTTGCAAGAGAGTAGCCGTTATTTTAATTATGGAGTTTGTACCCCTCTCTGCCTTTTGTATCACAGGTGCAGGCTAAAGGAAATTAGTTTTGCAGATGGTACCAAGCAGCAGCTTGTGTAATTGTAATTCAGTGTCCTGAATTGACAGTACTGATACTAACAGGACTGTTAAAAATCAAGCATTAACTTACTGTCTTGCACTAGTCTCTGTTTACCAGTCTGCTATTTTGACAGAGATAATTGATTCTAAGAGTTCATATTGTTGAAAATGAAAGTTTTAAATACTGAACAGCAAACACAATTCTTAAAATTTTATACTGTCACAAACTAGAAAACTATAAAATATACTTCGCAGGGGATCCATTCCGGACCCCACGAGAAAATGGGAACTTGCAAATATTGGAGCCTCATTAAAAATAATGGCATGCATCACCATGGCACACATGCAGGGCCATGCGCGGGCACACACCACAATTTTGTCCCTCCCTGCTTGCTGTCTCACGAAGCGAGACTGTGGATTCCAAGCCAGCAAACAGGGAGGGATGACTGTAGTCATTCTAAAAGTTCAGGAATTATTTTATTATTTAAAGTATTTCTGTATCACCTCTCAGCCCAGTTGTGCTCACAACATGATGAACAAATAAAGACCAATTAAATTAATACAAAGATAAAAATATTTTTAAAAAGCAAAATAGCCTTTAAAGACTCCTAAACCATTCTAAAAATATCCCTGGAATCCAGTTTTAAAACAGTTTAAACAGCAATTTCAAATATTGAATAACATGTGGAACAGCACTATTTCGGCT